GTTCAGTAGGCAATATAGAGTCAATGTCAAATTCATTCCAGTAGGGAAAAATATAAAATTAATTTTAGTCTAGGAATGCAACTCCAAGTGGCATGTAACCACTCAATCTCTATAATCAGAATAATTGGATGAGTATGTAAAACACATGAAAACAGAGCTAAAAGAATTTGGATGTCCACAAAAAATTACAAGTCCATTCTCTTGTGAAAGGTTAGTAACTAGATTGAAATATACATGTGATCATATTTCTATCCAACACAGCTACTATTCAAAGTAAACTTTGAGAAAGACATATTTGTTCTCATCCCATCGAAAACAGTGTACAAATTCCAGGTTCTATGCAAAATGGAGTACTCTCAATCAAGTACATGGGGCACTAAAACAACCATTGAAGTCAATTAAATTTTACAGACTCATCCAAATGTACAAAAATATAGACAACTACACAGTACCCAATCAATTAAATCAAAAACTTAACATAGCAATTGTTGGCACAGTATCCATCGCGAGAAAGGAAAAAAAAAAAAAGAAAAAGAAAAAGGATTTTAATTGACTTCTTTGCACAATTGACAATTCACAAGCTATGATTAGAAGAAAGAGGAATGAAGACTGCTAAAACATGTCACACACCTGCAGCTTATGGTTGTCACCAACAATAAGAGGTCTGGTCTGAGAGTTAAGTAGGTTAATGGACTAATAATACTTAATTAATATATTTTTTTTTATCAATAATTGGTTAGTCATATAAATAAAAAATAATTTTATCATCACTTTTATGTTAAAATGCATATTTTATCTTATTTGTCTTTATGTTTTCACACCACTTGCAATAGTTTTAATTTCATTGGCCTTACTAAAAAAAAAAATCAATAAAATTATATAAAAATTGTAAAACTTATTATATTTTTTTCAATTCTTTGGGACGCCAATGTAATTTACTTTGTTATAGTTCATTCCCTTTCATCTCTTTTCTATGTCTCCTATTGAGTCTTTTTGTCTCTCAACCACTTAACAAAGTGAGTCAAATATTATCCTAATAACAGAATTTTTCATTACGTCTTAAGTACTACATAGACAATACCACATAATATTTCGTGACTACCAATTTGGCCGTTGTGTCTAACAACGAAAGCTTTCATGATTCACAAAATTTATATAGAGAGTGATAAAATAATGCAACTGCAATTAAAATATTATTTCAAAACAAACTACCCACTAAAATAACATATATTAAATTCCATGACCACATCAATTGCGTGGTATTTTGTGTTCCTTATTGTAAATTAATGATAGAAAAAAGAAAAATAGTTTCACACACTATTTAAACCACCCCTATAGTAACTGTTTTCTGTTACATAGTTAGATATAGGATAGCTACATAACAATCTCTAATCTGGTATAAATAGTAAACTCTGTACTCAAGATCTTTTATCAAAAGATATTTTCATTTCTGATACAAATTCTTCATGGTATCAGAGCTTGTTAACTCCAACGAGTCAAGCTTCTTCAAGATCCTTCAATGGAGTCTGCATCTTTATCTCTACCAGCCAACCTGGTTCTTCTGATTAACAATTTGAATTCGTTTGTTACAATCAAATTGAATTGTACAAATTTTTTGATCTGGAAAGTTAGTTTCAGAACATACTTCGAGCCACAAATCTCTGATTTGTAATTTCCTCAATAAATATTATCAACACTTGTTTTTCCAACTTTTTTCATGCAAAAAGATTTAACTTTTGAAAAACATACTAGTAAAAAAAATTACTTCATCAACCCTAAACACATGCAAACTAAAAAACAACCAAAATAGAATTGCTTGCAAGAGAGTGAGTGAAGTTTACTCATTGTAGCAGACTGTGGAGTTCCAAATCCGATGGCATTACTCCGGTTACCCGTAATTTTTGTGGTGGTGGCGTCATCACCAATCAGAGCAATGTTAGTCTTGTCCTCTCCCACCACCACATATTCACTGTAAACCCCCGGCTTGACGCGAATATAATACCTATCATATTCGTAAAACGTAGTAAATAATTTTGTTTTACTTTTTTCAATAATATCTTTCTTCTTTCTTTTTTTTTTTTTTAAGTACTGAAAGTTTGTTGTCAGTTGTTAAATAATACCTGTTGGTTACACTGATATGCATAGGAGCAGCAGCAATCGCATCGTTGATGTGTTTGTAATTTCCCGAGCCATCTTGTGCAACTGTTGCATTGAAGATAGTGTTGGTCTGAAGTGAAATGGTGGTTTGAGTTGAGCACAAAAAGAAGAACACAACGACGATGAAGACGATGGATGAGGAAGAAGCAAACTTTGACTCCATAGCAAGGATTTAAAACTGAGATTGACTTAAACTATATGGATAGAGTTTATGAGTACTTTGTAAAGGACGTAGTGACTTTGCATGGTGTGCATGGTTCTTATATAGAACAATTTTACAATAAGAATTGTCAAAAAAATTAATTTTGGATTGGATTGACGACTGGACTTTCCATCTTTTCATTTGATGTTATATATAATCTTATTTTTTTTATTAGATTTTCTTATGAATTGAATTTTCTCTCATCCATTAGATTTTTATTAGATTTTCTTGTGAGTAGAATTTTCTCATCAGTCATTAGATTCATTTTTTTTTTTATCTAGATAATATAAAATTTAGTAAAAAATTTATAAAGAATTTTCCTAAAAAAATAAAGTACGTATCCACTGCAATGGATAAAGCTACGTCCATGCTCTTTGTTTGCCTAGTCAGATGATTTATTTCAACCATATAATAACACAACCTATTACTAAACTTTCCTTAAAGTTACGTAAACATCATAAAATTTCATTATATATTGCACGGTTTTCTCGAAAAAATCAGCTTTTTGGCAATTATTAAGTATATTTTGGACTAATCATAAAATGACATGTGTATTCCAAGTGTTATAAAATTAAGAAAATATATTTAAAAAATATGTATTGAGCTTTTGAACCTCAAAGATACTACAATGTTTTTGCTTATATTATATAATAATAATTATAAATATAATTTTTACAGCTTATATTGTTTGAAAACACGTTGCATTGTTTAGGAAAGTAAAAAAAACGCTGAAACGTGGAATTTGATAGGTTTTATTGATATTATTTTATCGTTATTATGGAAAAAACTTTTTGATAGATTTTATTGATATGGTTGTATTGTATTCAACATTATTATGGAAATTTCTTTTATTGGTCACATATGTTATTTTTTTTATTTTATAATAATAGGCATTATTGAAATTATCAATAGAAGTTGAAACGTGGCAGTTTCCTTAATCTCATGTTTGATATGTAGTAATTTCTTTTCTTTTCTTTTTTTAAAGATTAGAACATGTGTAGAGTATGAGTTGTAATTATAATCAATAGTGACATAAGGTTAATTCCATCCAAATTAAAATTTCAAATTAAAAAAATAAAAAAATAAACTACACTAATATCTTTTGAAGTTTAAAAAAATTACACAAAGTTCTACAAGTTTAATATAATTATATTATGGTAATTTAGGCTCTATTTGAATTTTTTCAAAAAAACAAAATAAGGGTGAATTTGTGGAGAAGAAAAAAAGTGAAAAAAAAGTACTTTTATTTTATTCACTTTTCTCTTGATTTGTTTTTCCCCCCCACTTTTGTATGGTATAATTCAGATTTTAAATTAATATGAACGTTAGATTGAATATTATGAGTATTTGTCATTGTAAGAATTGCACTTGATCTATTTGGCAATATAATTGTTTTGTACCAAAAAAAAATGAAAAATTAAACGTATATAAAATTTAAATTTATGGTGTGTACTTTGATTTGATATGGTTAAGTCGCACATAAAATAAATCTAATTCATACATTATAAATTATAGTCACTTTTGTGATTTTTTTTTTTGGATATACAGTGTTCTTGATTTTAGTAATTTTTAAATTTTTTGACTTTTTAAAAAGCTTTAAAAAAGAGATTTGGGAAGTCGCTCAAAAAACCATTTTTTGTGAGACAATTTTCTTTATATATTGTTTGACTTTTTTTTAACTGATCATAAAAAAATACGTGACTTTAACCCAAGGATTAGATCCGTTTAATAAGATAACGGTTTGCGTAACTGAAAGTTCCGGATTTGAAACTTATACCAACTTTCTTATAGTCCTTGATTGAAATTGAGGGGTGAAGGGTGAGTTCCTCGACATCCTTCCTTGAGTTGGCTCATGAGGTCGGTTCATAAATGGGCTAGGCCTTGATCATCAAAATTTAAAATAAAAAGAGACTTTTTGACATTTTATAACTCATCCCCAAATGTCCGCATAATTACATATGACCTTAACAATACTCTAATAGGTATGTTTACACAATTTTTAGTGTCCTATTTTATTAGGAATTTTTGTTTATTTATTTATTTATTTTTAATCTTGTCATAGAATCAAATTTAGAATGCTTATACTAGAGATGAGATGGACTCAATTTGTAAGTGTTTTATTATTATTAATTTTTTTGATTTTGATCAGAAAAATAAAACTTTTATTTATGACCATGACTGATGATGGTGGTTTCATATGGATTTGGTGGTATACATATTATACGCGTGCATTATATTTCAATTTTTGAATTGTTCGTTGATTAAAAAATATTAATTGGTTACAAAAATTGATTAGCTGTTATGATGATATATTTATTTTAAGGAGCTTTTTTGATAAATCCATTTTCTAAGAGGTTTATTCCATCCAACCCATATTCTTTTTGACTATTCCATTAGGTCCAATTTGAGATAAGAAGACCAAAATACCCTTTTCATCTACTTTGTTTTGAATTATGTGTTTTATAAAATACAACTATGCTATAACGTTCCATATGCCTACTCTGAGTGATTTAAATCATCTAGCTTGGAAAAAATAATTCTATCCACATAGAACGTGCCTAGGTCATAGAGTTGGCTTCGGCGGTGTTGGCTTTCAAATATTTTTTATTTTTTATTCTATATTTTATAGATTAGTAACGTCTTAATTATTTTAATTTGTCAAAAACGAAAGGCATTTTTTGAAGGCATGGAGTGCAACTTGTGGATCAACATCGAACGGTCCTAATATGATCATACCTGGAAACAAGACATTCTTGGTGAAACAACCGGTCCGATTGAAGGTCCATGCAAGTCCTCTATGTTCAGGTATTTATTTATTAAAACTCATGATTTTCATTTTATTTTTTTCAATTATATTTTAAATCATTTTATTTATATGTGTGTGTGTGTACTTTATATTGCAATTTTTTCTTGATATTTTTTCCCCCCCTTGTTTTAAAGTCAGTAGTACTAATACGGAAACAAGTCATAGGATGAGACACATGGCTGGTTTAACAATTACGTTTTTAATAATTTTATTCTTTTTCCTTTTTTTAATAATTTTTTAAGATAAAATTATTGGTAAAAACGTTACATTTTGATATTGAAAAGCTGGGGTGGGGTTTGGAATTGTCTTTGGTGTTTAAAAAAATACAGTTTTTAGATCTTCAAAATTGAAAGTACTTGAAATTTAAAAAATAATAATAATAACTTTAAAATTTTTACCAAAACTAAAAGATAAAAAATAACCTTTAAGCACTTGCCAAAGATGATGTGGTCTTGTTAAAAAAGCAACTCTTTTTTTTTTTTTTTAATCTTGTCATCTAAATTAGCATATTTTTTAGTAACGATTTTTTGCCCAAACATGCAATTTTTTTTTCCCTTTTATTTAAATAGACGGAAAAATTTTTTTAATAGTAACCAAACAGAGACACACTGCATGCAAGTTTCACGTTTATTGTGTTTTTGTGACTTATTTTTACATTAATATTCTTTTTTTATATAATAACTTTAAAATACCCAACAATTCTGCTGTGATTATAATGCAATTTTCCTCTTTTTTTTCATTGATGAAATACAGGTTTGGGGTGACATTAAAGCACCAGACATGATGAATTTTGGTGATATTAACTCTCATACTTGGCTTGTTTTCTCAAATGTTGATGGGCTTATTGTCAATGGAACTGGACAAATTGATGGCATTGGAAAATCTTGGTGGGATTCCTGTCCAAAGGTGGGTTCTGTTTAGATGTGAGAAAAAATAATAATAATAATAATAATAATTGGAGTTTTTCATCTTGGTTAGAAAATAAATAAAAAAAATATTATTGCAATTCTCACTTTTTATTTGGATGGACAATGATTAAAAGAGGAGGATACACGTGTTTTTTTTTTTTTAAATTTTAATTTCCTCTATGTTTAGGGTGTTAGTTTAGGTATTATAATTTTTTTTGTAAAGAGTAATTTTAGTTTTTCAATAAATCTTACAACTTTTGATGAAAAATAAGACTTACGTTTGGAGTTATTTGTTTTTCTCACCAATTTTCTTTCTTTCTTGAAATTATTCACCTTATTAATCATACAAACAAGGGTTGATAAAAAAATCTCATTCTCTTTGAATCTTTTCTTTTCCCACCAAACCCTCAATCCAAGATAGAGTGTTACTTATTAATCTCATCTAATCCTAATTAAACTTATGCATAGCACGAGATTATCTATATGTCTCAAATCCCTGTTCCTTTGCTCTAAAACATTCAAAATTGTTTGGATTATGCTCATTTAATTTTACTGTATCATTCTTGTAAAAAAATTTATATAGAATTTTTATTTGTACATCATTACTCATTTGAAAATTTTCTTACATGTGTTCTCAATTTTCATCTACAGGGAACAAATTGCAAGACGAGGCCTGCTGTAAGTAAAAATTTCTATTTTTACTCTCGGGCAATTTATATTGTTTATTGGCTCATACTCATGAAAGCATGCTTATTAAAAAAAAAAAACATTAATTTTTTTTTTATAAAATAATAAATCAACGTCTTTGATCCTAAACCCAATATTTTTATTTTTATTTTAAACAAGTTTAAAAATTCTCTTTGAGTTTAAGAAAATACTACATGGTGGGTATCTTGAAAAATTAGAGTAAATTGTTATAAGCATGTATTAGAAGCACATATTATTCTTAAATTAAAGATGTTTGAGCTCAAACAGTTACAATTTTCATTGCCAGGCTTTGACGTTCAATCGGTGTAACAACCTTCAGCTAAGTGGATTGAGGCATGTCGATAGCGCAAATAACCACATTTCGATTACCAACTATGCAGTTGCCACCATCTCAAACATTCATATAACTGCACCTAAAACTAGCCCTAACACCGATGGCATTGACATCAGCAATTCCACCCGTATTCAGATTCACGATTCTTACATTGGAACTGGTTTCATTTTTTAAAAACTTTTTATTTGGTCTTTTTAGCAGTTTT